AATGAAGGAGGCGAGCTGGTGGTGATCCCGGTGAATCTCCTGGAGAGCGATAATGGTGCACGAAGGACGGGTACTGCTGAGGAACGACTTCTTGATGCGGGCCTTGTCACCACCAGCCTGGAGGAGAGCTCTGGCGTTCCATGTCGCCATCCGTAGCGCAGGGAACTCGGGCGGGAGCGCTCTGGGAGCAAGAACGGCGGCAGCGCTAAAGAGACCACTGTGAAAGGGTCCGACAGGTGGGTGATGTCACGGCACGCGGCACGAAGAGCCTCGACGTCCATGCCGCGCTTGGCGAGGACTGGGATGTCCCAGAAGATCTCGGGCGGGATGTCTCCACGCGCGACCTGCAACTGCATAAACTTGTCCCACCCAATCGAGAGGACGCCGCGCTGTTTGTCGGAGAAGAATCTTCTTCCTGGATACTGGAGCTCGACAGCCTGCCGAACTTTGCGGAGGGAGATCTCGAGCTTGATGCGCTTGGGGGACTTGTCGGGACCGAGGTGGAGCCTGCACTTCTCGGCGCCGGGCGGGGTGACCCAGAATTCCTTCCAACCCGTCTGGTCACGAAGGTTCGGCATGGCGGAGCGAGCCTTTCGAGCGGCAGCACCAGAGGGGCCCTTGAACTGAACCTCAAATCGGCGAGCAGGGGCGGTCCCACGCAGCACGATGGAGTAGTCTTTGCTGGTGAAGTTGAGGCCCTCGAGCCAGGGCTGGAGGGGGGCGACGACACTGGCCTGTGTGGTGGGCTTCTGCGAAACGGCAACGACAATGGTGCAGTCCTCGGTGCGCTCGAAGGACGACGGCGGGGGCTGCTCATCACGTGGGGCGGCGGCTGCAAGGGCGAGCTGCTTGCGGAGCTCAGCAATCTGCTCTCGGAGAGCGTCGATGTCGGAATCATGTCGATCAAGCCTGGTCTGAGCGGCGAGGAGTTGGGCCGTGTGCTCGTCAATCTGGGACTGGAAGCGCCTGCTGACAGCGTCGAGCCGAGGGGCGAGCGCGGACTGGACCTGTTGCTCAACAGCGGTAGCTTGCTTGGCAACCTCCGCTTGCATGGCGGAGAGCATAGACAGGAGGGTGGCGTGGTTGTCGCCGACAGTCTTGGACACGGAGCGGCTGACCTCCGCTGTGATGGTGCTGCGCATGAGCTGGAACTCCTCACGGCACACCTGTCTGAGGTATTCATCTGAGGTGAAGTCATCATCGTCCATGTCTGCGGGGCGATCGGAGGCAGGGTCGACAGGAACGTCAGCGGCCGGACGCTTGCGAGTGCCAGACCGAATAGAGCCCTTGCGTTTGCCCGCGGGACGACCTTGAGACTCTTGACTAGGGAAGGTCGGTACAGAGTCGATGGCCTCGGCAAGCTCGCTGATATCCTGGGATGACAAGAGCGCGCCATCGGCCATGGGACAAAGAGAGGAAAGGGTGTCCGCCAGCTGCTGAAAGCTGGATAGCCCTTCAAGAGGGCTGCCTCACTCAAAACGGGCCTGTCCCGATCTGGAGCCAAAATGGCAACGGAGAAGGAGGAGGAGGAGGAGGAGGAGGAGGAGGAGGAGGAGTATCGAGGAGGAGGAAAAGGAGGAGGAGGAGAAGGAGGAGGAGGAGGAGGAGGAGGAGGAGGGTCGAGGAGGGACCGATGCCTCGGGCGCTGCGACCTCGGCCTCCGTAGGGCCCTCCGGGGCAGCCGCGGGGGGGCCTCCGGACACCCCGTCGCGGGCCAGGTGCCTCGGGCCCCCCCCCGTCTCCCCCCCCCATGGAGTGGATCTTCGCAGCTCCCCCATGGGACGCACTGTTGCAACCAGTCGCATGAAGCAGAGGTTCGGAGCCAGACCCGGCCCCTCCCCCCCCCTCTTCCGCCGAATGTCGAAACGCCGAATGCTGGTGGCGAGCGAGGGGGGGGGAAATGAGAAGGAGAAGGCCTGCTCAGAAGGCGGCGGGATTTTTCCGAAGCCCTCACGCCTCCGGGTTTTATGCATCTCCGGGGAAGGCCCAGATTACGCGACCGAGGAACCCCACATACTTATATTATGGCTGGAGTGATGATCGCCTCCTCCTCCCCCTCCTCTTCCTCCTCGATTTGCGGGAGAGGGAGCTCAGGGACCACCTCCTGCGCACCCCCTACGGTGTCGAGAAAGTGCCACTCCTGCCTTGCCGTGGACGACCGACTCGGATAGCGGCCGCGCTCAGGGACCACTCCCTGCGCACCTCCTATGGTGTCGGGAAAGGGCCACTCCTGCTACGCCCTGGACGACCGGCTCGGATAGCGGCCGCGCTCAGGGACCACCTCCTGCGCACCCACTATGCTGTCGGGAAAATACCACTCCTGCTATGCCCTGGACGACCGGCTCGGATAGCGGCCGCGCTCAAAGACCACCCCCTGCGCACCTCGTATGGTGTCGGGAAAGTGCCACTCCTGCTATGCCCTAGACGACCGGCTCGGATAGCGGCCGCGATCAGGGACCACCTCCTGCGCACCCCCTATGGTGTCGAGAAAGTGCCACCC